ACCCCCCTCCCCCCGCCCCCCGAGTGCACAAATTTTTGTGCCCCGGGCCTCTAGTATATAAATAAAAATACTCCCCTACAGAATTGTTCTAAGAGTGGAATAAAAGTAGTAAGTTTCAGTAAATCCAAATTGTCTTCTCTCTTTTAATTAAAATTTGTAGAATAGCCTGATCAGCACCATTTGGTCAAAAAAATCAAAATAAAAATTAGCCACGCTAAGACAATGCTTCTTCATATTATGGCAATAGTTCTATATATATTAAGAAAAAATAGAGAGCTCTCTCCATTCCTCTCTCTCTCTCTCTCTCTCTCTCTGTCTAAAATCAATAAATACAATTAAAAACAAAACAAAACAAAAAAAAAAAAAAAAGAAAAAATAGAGAGAAAGAACCACATTGGCTTTTCCAGATAAAGCTTCCTCATCAAGTTACAATAAAAAAAGAAAAAGAACAGTGAGTGTGTGTGTGTGTGTGTGTGTGTGTGTGTGTGTGATTTCTCCCAAACATTTTTAAATGTTTGACCTGATGTAACAAATTTTTCTTATGGCAAAACAACATGCCATGGCAAATTCTCACTGACATGTATTTTTAATGGACTCGAAGCTGCCAGGAAGCATCCTGAGCCAGAAGCCGCTCGGTTACATTTTCTCAGGGTCCCAGATCAAGTGTGAGGCTGTGGTGAGCCTTCGCTGCGCTGCACTCATTGACTCGGGGGGTGCAGGCACAGTGTGCCACTTCACGCGTGCTCCTCTCTTTCCTGGTACAGATCAGAGCACATTCTCGTGTATCTTCTCTCTCCTTCCTGCTACCCCTTGCTCCTCAGAGGTCACTGTTTCCTCTGCCCTCGTCTAGTTTCCTGTCACCTACCCAGCTTGTGGAGGAGAGACAGGTAGAGCACCCACAGCAGAGGAGCCAAACTCCCACAGGTGAGGCTGGCCTTATCCGGATGAGCAGGCAGCCCGACCTGGGCCATTTGGGTGGCGTCCAGAATGCCTCCTCCATCGCCTGCCAGGCAGCTCTTCCAGTTGAGCTACAGGACCAGAAGGGGGGACAGGGAGTGGTGAGCCAAAGACCACTGAGCCTGCTTCACGTTTTGCTGAAGAGCTAATATGCCTAAGTATTAATTCCGCATTATCTGATATAATAACACCGGAAGTAGTAAGCCTTGCATTTGTATGCGCTTTACAGCTTATAAAGTACTTTTATAAAATTCATCCTCAGAAAAACCTTATGGCAAAGATATGGCAGGTAATATCCTCCTGGAGACTGAGACTTGGGGAGGTTAAGTAATTTCTCAGCCAAGGTCATACTTTTAGTCAGTGTAGAAACCAGGACTCCGGACTCCAGGACCCGAGTTCTGTGTCCTAGACCACAGTTTCAAGTAACTTCACAATCCCCTTGATTCTAGCAACTGAGCCTTTACGAAGAGCATCTCTAGAAAAGTAGAATCTGTGAATTGTAACACTGCCCAACATGGAGCCGAAACTTTGAGTGTCTTGCTGCTCAAGTCACAGAGAAGAGACGCGAGAGTGTTTTCAGCAATGTGTCCCCACCCTCCCCATTACATGCACACGTGCACACATGTTCCTCTGTCCAGGAGGAGCACTGGTTTGGGAGTCAGGAAGCATCAGAATCAATCACTTAGCAAATGGGGGACATCAGGAAGTCAGTCAGCTCCTTGTTCTGGGTCCCCGTTTCTTCTGTGAAATGAGAACTGAGCTAACGTAGCGATGTGTGGGTGGACTGATCACAGAGCAGAGCAGTGAAGCTTAAAGATCTGTTGTGAGCACTCACTGTCCTTCCCATTGCCCCAGGAGGCTGCATATGTGCTAATCAGCATTATTCCATTCACAAGAAAGATGGTACAGCCATCATCATCTGTGGGTTTATCACATCTTATCTGTACTACTTAACTAGTAATGGACTTTGAATTAAACACACTGTATAAGTAGATTACACATCAGTTGTTAACATACAGAGGAAGCCCTAGCCGGTTTGGCTCAATAAATAGAGCATCCGCCCGTGGACTGAAGGGTCGCAGGTTCAATTCTGGTCAAGGGCACGTACCTCAGTCGCAGGCTCCATCCCTGGGCCTGGTCAGGGAGCATGCGGGAGGCAACAGATCAATATGTCCCTCTCACATCGATGTTTCTCTCTCTGGGTCTCTCCCTCTGTCTTCCACGCTCTCTAAAAATCAAGGAGAAAATGTCCTCAGGTGAAGATTAACAACAAAATACAGAGGAAGAAGGCCCCTCCATCTTTGTATGGACTGTCTCAGGATTCTCTTGCTATCTTTACCAAAACGAAAGCAGTGATTTTAAAGAGACACCACTACAACATAAAAAACGCAGTGGTCGCCTCTGGAGCCCCCTCCCTCTGGGTCACCATGCTGTGAGGTGGCCCCAGACCAGAGCTGGTGCTGCAGCTGCTTGTGATGAAATTGTGCATGTTGGTTCTGGTCTTTATATCCATTTCAAAGCAAATGAAACATTACAGGAACAATTATAAATAATTGAGATTGTAAAATCGCCAAGATTAAATTCTAGGTAGGGCACAAAATATCTTTTAATGCCACTTTAGTCCTTTTCCATTCGGCAAACAAAACTTCTTGGCTGGCTACCTGGACTTTCACAATAACGCAGTCTAGCACGTGGCCCAAGCTGTGAGGGTTCACTGCTCAAGTGACTGAAAAGTGCTCCTCGAGTGAGAGGCTGTCAAGCCAGGGTTTGGGGTACTCCAAACCCCCACAGTTTCTCTGCGTAGGGTGACTGTCGTCCTCTCTTTCTCTGAGCTAGTGATGAGGGCCTCCTTAACTGCCCAGCCACCTCCCTCCATGGTGACATCATGAAGACCTTCTGCCTCATGTTCCTGTCTTGGCCCCAAACAGCTTCCTCCCTAGGCCTCCCCAGCGCCTCACTGATGTTCTGTGCCGGCCACGGACATGCTGTTAGGACAACCGGGGTTTTAGTCCGTCTGACGTTGTAATGAGTAATAATTACTGCTGTGTGCTCTCAGTCACCTCTCAGCTCCATCGTACATCCTGTGTTCTCCATTTCTCATGGTTCCAGGATGACATCAGGGTTTTTTCCATCTTGTCTCTTGTAAACTTGCATTCTTCTTTGATTAAATATATCTTCTTCTTTTTTCATCATGGTGAAGCATTTATGCTTATTTATGGTAGCATGAGCCAAAGGGAGGCCTTTCTTTATGGCATTTTCACTTTTTCCCTCAATTTAGTTACTAGCAGACTCTAAGCCTATACAGCCAGTTATTATTGGTAAGAATGTTTTCCCTTAGTAAAACACAACCAAATAAGATTGGATTAATTTTTATACAATATTTATGGTCAAATTAAATCATAGAATTCCTTACTCCAGTAATTATTGCTTAAAAGCCAATTTATGGGGGGGGGGGTGTTAGGGGGGACTAAGGACACATATGTAATACCTTAATCAATAAAGAAATCTTTTAAAAAGCCAATGTAATTTTTTTTAAATTTGTTTTGTGGAAAATTTTAAATATATACGGACATATAGAGAATAGTATGGTAAATCTACATATAGTATCATTTAGCTTCAACAGTTATCAGCACTTGACCAATCTATACCCTAACTCTCCACCCCTACTGCGACCTTGGATTATTTTGAAGCCAAACCCAGACATGATATCATTTCATTCACAGTGTCCCTATTTTTGATGTAAGATATTTTATGTTTTAAGAATGATGTCTTTGCATGGTGTACAGCGGGTAATCTGGTCAGATTTTTTTCCCATTAGTCTTTTGTAATTAATCATGTATTAGTTTAATGATTAATCTCTCAAGACTTTTTTCTCATCTGTGTAAGTGTATGAATATAAATACACATATAGTTATATTTTATTTGTTTTGTTAAAAATAAAGACGGGTGTCATATACTCTGGATTTTATTACAAAACTGCCCTCTTCACTTATAAATTATAGAAATCTTTCTGTGACAAATCAGAGACCTGCTTCATTCTTTTTAATAGCAGCAGAGTATTTCATCAAGGATCTTTTGAGATAAAATGGAACTTTCATAACAATGGCTTTCCCCTGTTGTTCCATATTGGTAGTTTGCTCTAACCCGTGCTCAAATGCTGCTGTGTGCAGATTTGAGAATCATGTAGGTGAGTAATGGTGGCTCAACGTAATGCTTAAGGAAAATAGGGAACAATATATTTGTTCTGAAAACCGAAAAAGTAAATGGGTGTGTTAGAACGCTGGGCAGTGAGTGTCTTTATGCATAATTGGCATCACTAAAACCTCGCAAAAGCAGGAAAACCAATGAGAGAGACTGTTGCCAGGCTAAAACTCCAACAGAAGGCAGAAGAGATGGGTGGACAGGCGGGGGTGTCGGGCTGTGTGTAAAGGACAACATAATAACAGTAATAATCCCTTACATTTGCACACTTCACAGTTTACACAGGACTTTTATATCCATTTCTAATTTAAGCTACACAATAACCCTGAGCAGCCAAAAATATGCTATAGAATTCCCCATGGGTGGACATTCTAAAATAATGAAAGTGTGGGAATAGCATTATCCTGAAGGCACTGGACAAGGTCCATGGACTGAACCAAAATGTTAAGACCAAGGAAGGTGTAGAAGCAGACTCCAGCCTCACCACGCAGAAGCAGCTGACGGTCTCCTTTAGCCACGTGCTGATAAGCATCTCCCCAAGAATGGGGAATGGGTTGGTGCCAAGAGCTACCAATGGGTAGCTACTGAAGAGCCACTTGGAGAACTGGTCCATGTGCACATCCCCTGACCCTACCCCAAAAGATTCTGATTCAGTGGCTTCGAGATGGAGCCCAGAAGTCATGCATTTATTAAGCTCTCCTAGTGATGTTGACATGCAGCCAAGTGTTTGAACCATTGTTCTGGATGAGTCTCGGAGGGTTTTATTGTATGGGTCCATGGTAAATTGGGCTTACTAAACCCATAAGTCAGTGGACATGGGTAGAGGAAAGAAGGCCAACCAATCTGGCCAGGTAATCTGGTGGACAGAGGGTTTGGCAAGGGGGGAGCTTCCTTTGGGTATAATTTCTAAAGACTTTCAAATAATATTTACAAAGTTCCACACCAAATGCTGTTTTAAAATGAGGTAGGAGCGGGGTAGAGGGTGTCAATGGGGGGGAAAGAGAAGCATCTGTAATACTTTCAACAATAAAAATAAATTTAAAGAAAGAGAGGGGAGAGAGAGAGAGAGAGAGAAAAGAAGGAAGGAAGGAAGGAAGGAAGGAAGGAAGGAAGGAAGGAAGGAAGGAAGGAAGGAAGGAAGGAAGGAAGGAAGGAAGGAGAGAGAGACAGAGAGAGAGAGAGAGAGAGAGAGAGAGAGAGAGAGAGAGAATGAATTGGGGGCTGTGTTGCTATGGACAGTCCTGGCCTAGAGAGGCAACTATTTTAGAGATGATCAAAGCTGGAGGATCCCTGGTAGGGATCCAGTTTACCCAGGGCCCAGTGATGACCTCAGGCTGTGACCTCATCTCTCTGAGCCTCGCTTTCCTCCTCTGGGAAATGTCAGAGCTGTGCCATTCCCATGCATCCTCCTCCTGCAGTCTCCTGGCCCGAGCTCCTCCCAGCCTCTGATTGAATTTCTCCTTCCCCAGTTTCCTCTGTTCTCAGATTGCTCACAGGAATGTAAGCTTTTGTGTAAGTGTGTATGTTCGCATGAATAATTCTGATATATTTGGAAGACATACATACTAGTAGGTGTTCAAAATATACATATGTACATAAACTTCTACTTACTAGTCTCACCAGGAAAATTCCTAGCTTTTCATTGTTTCTTTTCTATCATGTCTTTTTTCTTTCCTGGAAAATGGATTTATGAACTAGACTTGCAACTGAGTGTTTAAGGGAACCCACAAAAATGTTCACCAGCCTGAATGTTCACGTACATGTCCTTTCATGCCACATTTAAAATCTTCTCTACTCCTCCTGTTGCCCTTTGCCATAACTTTGTAATCACCTTGGTTGTAAACATTGATGCTTACCCTTGACGCTGAAGTGTTGTAAAGTGAAAAATACAGCAAAAGAGATAAACCAAAGAACTTATATACGTATATGCAGAGCCCATGGACACGGACAATAGGGTAATGAAGACCTGGGGGGGGGGAGGGAGAAGGGGTAGGTGTTGGAAGGGAGGGGGTAAGGGGGGGAAATGGGAGATACCTATATTACCAACAATAAAAAATATATTTAAAAAAAAACAATTTTTTAAAATAGTAGAGCAAATGGAAATAAGGAGTATGTACTAAGTTATCATGGGGATTGAGGTTCCTTATAACTAAGTTGATTTTTCATCTAATGAGGAAATGGTTTTAGTTGGGGATTTCCCTTATAGAGTATCTGTAAATGCAGCACATTAAAATGATAACCACTGAAACCCTCTTCCATTCCTTTGTAGTGAAAACATTGTTCAACCCAGCTCCCGCCACTGCTGACCTGGACCCCCGGTTCTACACCCTCTCAGATGTGTTCTGCTGCAATGAAACTGAGGTAAGGCTAGACGGTTCTGCGCATTCCAGGGGAAACCAAAGACTTCCATGCTAGTGAATGAAGCAAAGAAGCAGGACTAACCACATCAATGTGATTGCATGTGAATTGGGCCCCGTGAAAACAGCCTTTTCAGTTGATGGGTGTGGAGAAAGGAGATTAGTGAGTCCTGTGGGATGGGGGGGGATGGAGGGGGACTCCCTGAGTCATCACCATAATCTGACACTGATCAAACCTCAGTTGACCTTAGTGCCCTCCCTGCCGTTTTCCTTTTTAATTATTCCATATTCTACAGACTAATTCGTATTAGAGTTGCCTGATTCAGCAGATAAAAATATAGGATGCCCGGTTAAGTTTGAATTTCAGAGAAGCAACAATATACTAAATGTACTTACACTTTAAAATTATTTGTTGTTTCTCTGAAATTCAAATTTAACTGGCATCTAACAACCCTAACAATAGTTAACCCCTGGTGTGTTTGCTGCATCCTACTGAAGATCCTGTGACTGCACTGTGGGCAGACAGGTTTTCCATCGATGCCATGGGAAGACGTTGGGGCCACTCCATTAGGGGAGCACCCTCTCAGTACAGCTGAGGGCCATAACGTATAGCTCTGCAATAAATATATATCAATTTATTCACATTATGCCACTCATTCTAAAGCATTTTAGGAAGGTAATTTTAATATTTCTACCTTTTGTAGCTAAATAGTTTTAGACTAGAGCTCTCAACCACCATTGGGAGGCAGGACATATCATACAAGTCAACATGCGGAGAGACAAAGTTAGTAACTAATAAACTATACTGTAATTTTCCATTTGGTTTGAAGGCTGAATGACGGTTTCTAGGATTTGCCTTTTTGTTAATTCTTAGAATATAAAGTAAACAAGAAAGAAGACTGCCACAGGAGACTAATTTTAACAACCACAATATACTACGCAATATTTTTGAGCAACCACCACAGCCAGGCGTTGTACTAGGTAAAAGGAATTGTGGGAGATAGTGGCCATTGCACAATAAGAGGTTACATTACCCTCAACTGCCAAACTGCCTTCGAATTCCCTGCTAGATACTTACAGAGCCCTGTGTTCTTCAAACACTAATCACAGCTCGAATTACTAGACACTTATGTCTTCTCTACTAAATTATTAGTCCTGTGAGGACAGGAATACCTGTCTTATTCACTGTTGTATCCCCAATGGCTATCTCTATGTGTATAGTTATCTATTGCTGCAGAATAAATTATCCCAAAATTTAGTAGTTTACAACAACAGTAATTATTTATTGTCCCTCACGGATCCTGTGCATCAGGAACTGGCACAGGGCACAGCACAGCTTGTCTCTCCTCCACAATGTATGGGGCCTGGAAGACTCAAAGCTGAGAGCTGGAATCATCTGAAGCCTCCTTCACTCACACGCTTGTAGTCTGATGCTGGCTCTTGGCCAGAACGCGCACACATGGCTTCTCCCTGTGGCCTGGGCTTCCTCACAGTATAGAAGCTGGGTTTCAAGATGGGGGGGGGGGGGGTTGAAGGGAGAGAGGGAGAGGTAAAGATCAATGAAAACCTTATAAAAACAAAAAAGAAAGTGGCCTCCAAGCATAACCGAGTCAGACTGAAAGGGCCTATTGAAAAAAGATGGTAAGGGAGGACATGTTCACGTTAATGAAGCCTGTGCTGCTAGGAAAATGAGCCCAGAATGGACAGACACTGTGGGGTGATTGACAGGCAACAAAAAGGGTTAATCTGGGCATAACTAGAGCAAGCACCGGAAGGGACAGAACCGTCCTGAGGAAGAGGCAGTGCCTGGTTAAAGTGTAAGACAGAAAGACAGGATTTGGTTATAAACCGTTTGAGTCAAAAAGCATCATATAATCCAGTGATTTTCGACCACCTATTTGGAGATGCTGGAAGGGTGCCTGGGCGGTGAGGAAACAGGGCTCAGCCCTTCACACCGACTGTGGCCAGGGACCTTTTTATATCCAGAGAGAAGTACTGATCGGTTTATAAAACCCCTCCTTTTATAAGTCGTGCATGACTGGGAAAGGTCAGAGCTAGAAAGTAGCGGAGACCTGAATGTCATGGCGTTGCTTTTTGTGCTGCATAGCAGTGCCTCTCCTACTCTGCCTCCATCTTCTCCAGCAAAAACAAAGAAATGGGTGGTGCGTAAGCATGGAAGCCTGTAACTAGTCAGATGAGAAAGGCATAGGGCCCAAGAGAGGCCTAGAGGAATCACGTCCTTACGTGTGAAATTCGCAGGTATGATTTATATCATCAAAATCATTGGCCCCTTCCTTTCTCCTCTCCTCCCTCCCCCTTTCCTTTCTTTGTTTTGTAGGATTCTTTGTGCCCCTACCTCTTTATTATGAAAATTACTGTACATACACACAGAAAAGCTGAAAGAGCTCTGATACAGTGAATACTCATATACTCTTCACCTAAAGTTTAGGTCCTAAACCAGTGATGGCGAACCTTTTGAGCTTGGCGTGTCAGCATTTTGAAAAACCCTAACTTAACTCTGGTGCCGTGTCACACATAGAAATTTTTTGATATAGTAAAACAAAGACTTATATTTTTTATATTTATTTTATATATTTAAATGCCATTTAACAAAGAAAAATCAACCAAAAAAATGAGTTCCCGTGTCACCTCCGACACGCGTGTCATAGGTTCGCTGTCCTAAACAGTTGTTTCACATTTTGCTATATTTATTTTTCTGAGCCAGAGTCTATCAAAGTTCTCCACTGCAGTGGTTGTTATGCAAAATAAGGGAGACAGATTCTAGAAAAACAAATCTCATGTGGAAGTGGGCCCAGTCTACTTTTCTCACCACTGTCGCCTTTCACTGCGTGTATTCCAGGCGGAGATTCTCACCAGCCTGGCGGTGAGCAGCCCCGCGGACGCGGGGAAGGCCGCGCTGGTGCTCCTGGAGAGGGGCTGCCGCGTGGTGATCATCACCTTGGGCGCTGCAGGGTGTGTGCTGCTGTCTCAGGCAGAGCCTGTTCCAAAGTACATTCCCACGGAGAAGGTCAAGGCTGTGGATACCACGGTAGGTTCTACGTTTCAGAATCGTTTTTGGCCTCGAGAACACATTTAGTCACTAACGTACTGCACTGCACTTTCTGTGTCATAAGGTAACGGCTCCAGGAGGTGATATGGTAGAAAAGAAAAACAACCAGGCAGGAGAACCATATCCTAATCCCTTTCTAACCAACTATAGAACTTTCGACAAGTCACTTAAGCTCTCTCATCCATCTAATTGGAATATCAGTAAAGTTATACCTGTATTACCTATATTCGTTTATGTTTTCAATAAGTATTTATTGAATATCTATTATATGCCAGTACAATTAGGCACCAGGGCTATAATGATGAACATGACAGTCTGTGCCTTCAGGGGCTTAGATTTTAGACAGTCAATCACTGGGTCTTACAAACTTCGTGTGGAATGAGACAGCAAGGAGCACTGGCCAGCAGAGCTCATTCCTTCAGCCAACAAGTAGTCACAGCCATCACGTACCGCATGCTTCTGTGTCTCTCTTGCATACATCTCATTTAATCTTCACAAGAATTATAGGAGGTAGGTATGGCCATGCTCCTCGCTTTACAGATTTAAAAATGTGCTCAGGATCATAACGCTGGGAAGTAACAGAGCTGGGGGTTCAACACTAGGCCTGTGGGGACTCCACTACACTTTGTGTGCAAGGCGCTGTGGTAAGGACAGGCGGGGTAAGTGGACAGGTCACGGCTAGCTAACTACAGGGCAGGGATGAGAAGAAACAAGTTGGAAAAAAGGCTCAGTGTTCTGCTAAAGCATCTCTTTATGGCCTAGAATTCAGAAGAGCTGACTAGAAAAGTAAGCACATGTCAGGTACATGAAACGAGAGGAAGAAGAAAAAGGTCAGAATTTTTATTTATAAGAAACTGCTGTGTAATTATTCACAAAACATGTTTTGGTTTTTATACTTTAAAAAGACTTTAAAATATGGGTCATTTATTTAAAAAGAAGCCTAAGAGGATCTGATGGAGTTTTAGATACAAACATGCTTTGAAAACTAGTCAGTGCAAGGCATGCTTTTATAACATGAAATTACATTGTCACTGTCTTTCAAAATGTGCTCCATCGGGTATTTGACAGACTGTACGTGGCACTGTCATTCTCTTCCTGTTTAATCATTTGTGAATCCATTAGCTTTTTTTTCTGTTTTGTCAAGATGGACAGGGAAGGTTTCTTATTAGTTCTGAAATTGATCCTGCAGTAGACTACAACTATTCCAGGTCCTGAACTAAAGCAGAAGCGTGTCTTCCTCTCTTGCTGAGCATGAAATGAAGGGGCCCAGCAGTGGCTCAGCCTCAGCCTCAGAGTCTGTGTCAGGCCTACACAGAAATGGGGACTTACTGGGTGCACATAATTAGAAAGTTCAAGAGTATGGCAGAATGCAGAGGCTAACCCGAGTCAAGAAAGTTCAAGAGTATGGCAGAATGCAGAGGCTAACCCGAGTCATGGCATTCGCTCTCGCTCTCGCTCTCCTGTCAGCTCTGCTCCTCAGGTGAGGGTCCCTGGAAGCCCAATGTCACATCCCACCTCTGGTGTCACATGAAAATCAAAGAACTCTTATCAGAGGCTAGGAAGTGGATGCTGGTCAGACAAAAACCACCCGGCTACCACAGAACACTCGTATGGAAGTGCACTGCTTGGGCTGAGACTAAATGACGACGAAACCACCCTGGGAAATGTTCAGATTCAAATCAATAGTAATAACCCTCAGAGTAATTTCCTGTTGAAGGATGGGATTGCATAGATCACGACAGACGACAACTTTGAGCATCTTAAATACAGTGATGGGCACGAAGGAAGTTTTTGCTTTGTTTTGTGTCCTTTCATTTGGTTTCTTAGCATTCCCAGTTAATTTTTAGGCTTTGGAAAGGTAAAACAGTGAGAGTTCAAAGGTGAAACAGTGAAAGTTCAAAGGTGAAACACAGGGAAAGTTCAGAGGACTGTAAAGTTCATTGCTTAATGCTTGGAGGCAGGAGATAGAAAACAGGATCAGGAAGGTCAGGGCACTGGATCAGGATCAGCAAGTCTTTCCTATAAAGGGCCAGATAGTAAATTGGAGGTTTCACAGGCACATACATACATGCTCTGTCTCAGTTACACAACTTTCATGTCTTGGTAGCGTGAAACTATCCAAAAACAACTCTGTATGCTATTGGAATTAGGTTGGTATCTATATATATAAAAGCCTACTGTTCAACCACATGATGTGCACTGACCACCAGGAGACAGATGCTCAATGCACAGGCATGGAAACATGGAACAGACTGATGAATCTCAGAGGAAAGGGAGTAGGGTGGGAAGAGATTAACCAAAGATCTTATATGCATACTAGAGACCCAGTGCACAATTCGTGCACCGGTGGGGTCCCTCAGCCTGGCCTTCAGGGATCAGGCTGAAACCAGCAGTCCAACATCTCCCAAGGGGTCCCGGATTGCGAAAGGGCGCAGGCCAGGCCTAGGGACCCCACCAGTGCATGAATCTGTGCATTGGGCCTCTAGTTTAGTTATAACTGGATTATTTTAAGTCAAGGTGTTAATTGGAATCACCAATGCAATCACTAGGACAAGAACTAAAAACAAAAACAAAACTAAACTAAAAAAATAAATAAGAAAATTAAAACGGTACATTAGAAAATGTCTAACACAAAAGACGCAGTAAAGCAGAAACAGGAATGAAGAAGCTACTGGAGGATAAGCTATTGTAAACTGAAGGATAAAACTAAGAGTGAAAGACATGGGATCTAGAAACAGGCGGTGCAACATAGGAGAGGAGTGCAGTCAAGGATAGTGAAGGAAAGTTCCAGGAAGCAGCTGTGCAGCGAGCTCAGAGCCATTCAGTCCAGATGAAGGCCCTAGGAGGAATGTGTCCCAGAAAAAAAAAGGCGGGGGGAGAGAAAGAAATAGTTAAATATCCATATATTTGAATATGTCCATAATTTGGGGATGAACTCCTAAATTACTATGTAGAAAACTGAGGAAATTTTTTTTTAATTTTTCCTCTAGGTCATCTGGCGTCTAAGGGGAAAAGTATGATTAAGCAAATCTTAGTACACCACATGATTATGAATTTATAGTCATAACAGTATAAGTTCCAATTATTGATTTAACTAAAAATGGATATTATAATCATATTGTGAAGATTGAAAGAAAAAGTGAGTGTGTGTTTGTGTGCACATGGGGGAAGATAAGAGAACTAAATGCTCATCTTCCATAGTTGGAATTCAAGAGATAATAATCAAAAACTGATTTTCAAAATAGCGGTATAATCGCTTCTCGGCCTTTTGGCTAAGATCAAGTGCAAAATAGCGGTATAATGCACATTACCAGAAATAGAAGATAAACACCAGAAGAAACCGCTAAAAGAATTTAAAGTATTTGCCTAGTGGAAATGGTTGTGGAGAGAGATGGAGCATTTATACTTTAAGTCCTATCTTTTTAAATTGCGCATATGGATGGCTCTGATTCTTTTTTTAAGTGACAAAACACAATGAGATGCCATGTCATACCCACTGGGATGGCTATAATCAAAAATAGATAATAACAAGTGCTGACTAGTCTGTGGAGAAATTGGAACCCTCGAGCAAATGCTGGTAGGAATGTAAAATGGTGTAGCCACTATGGAAGACAGTCTGGAAAAGCTTCACGAAGTTAAATTTAGAGTTAGTTGCAATATGACCCAGCAATTCTACTCCTAGCTATATACCCAAGAGAAATGAAAACATATGCCCACACAAGAACTTATACACGAACATTCATAGCAGCATTATTCATAACAGCCCAATATTCATAACAGCCCAAACCTGGAAACAACCCAAATTTTCATCAACAGATGAATGAATAAACAAATTGTGGAATATACTGTGGGGTACCCTTCTAGGTTCTTCTAGCTGGTCTAATAATTAAATCAACATGAGACAGAGTAACAAGAGAAAATAACCAAAATTAATTACACATGTATGGGAACCCCACATACATGAGAGGTTCTGAGACAGAGGTTCTGAGGTACACACGAGCTAAAAATGAGCTAAGAATGAGGGGGCACCTTGGGGCTTCAGAGGGGAGGAAGGCCATTCGCAGGAGGATAAGAAGAGCAATATGTTCAGTAATTAGATGCTTGTCTAAATACCAAAGTTATTTTTGGTAATAACTCTTATTACGGGCAAGGCCCCAAATTTAAATTCTTTAAGGAAGAGTAAAATTTTCTCATGAGCCCACAGAGTCTTGATTGTCTTCAGCTCAAAAAATAATATGCCTGCCAAAGTGGCACATCTTGAGGAGGCCTATTCTGAACCCCTTCAATTCATATAATAGAATGTTATTCAGCCATAGAAAGGAACACTGATGCGTGCTATAGGACAGATGAACATCCAAGACTATACTAAGTAAACAAAGCCAGTCAGAAAGGGCCACATAGTATAAGCTTCCATTTACATGAAATATCCAGAATAGGTAAATCTACGGAAACAACGTAGGTTGACGGTTGGCAGTATCTGGGGAGAGGGGATAATGGGAAGTGATGCTAATGAGTACAGGGTTCCTCTTCGGGGTGATGAAAATGTCCTGGAATCGTGATAGTTGCACAATCTTGTGGATACACTAAAAACCACTGAATTGTGTACTTTTAAAGGGTGACTTTTATGGTATATGAATGATATCTCAATTCAAAAAACAAAGGTAGAACGCAATCCATCTATCCATCTAGGCACCTTAGTAAAGAATGGGTGCTCTTGTGCTGAGGAATCTTCCATGTAATGGCTCTACTGAACCTACCCGAATGGGTGCTCAGCGTCCCCCCAGTAGAGCGGAGGTGACACAGGAACCACGGGTAGTTATTTTCTGGGTGTGGCATCTCCCTCAGCGTTTTTATGCTATCTTTGTCCTCTCAGCCGGCACTCTCATTACTGAAATTCTTGCCTGTGCTGCACACAACTGCTCAGCCTGTTCATAAGTCTGAAAAGAGGAGATAATTGACGTGGTGAGGTGCGAACTCCC